GCAATGCCTTATCGTCTGGCGAAGGTGGACACGTTGAAAACTTGGGAATTCTAGTAAGTGTTTTCCCCTCTCCTCTCTGTTGTTAGTCCTATGAAATGATGTTCTTTGCAAAAGTTTTCAAGCCGGCAATTTTGTTATACGTGTACACCCTTTATGGTCTTTCAATGCACTGATTAATTTGCGCAAGAAAAAAAGTGGATGTTGCAGTGCGAACATTTTGGAATTTTTCAATGTAACCTTTACCGTGAGAGCTCCGTTGTTTTAAATTATCACAATTTCGAGCGCATACCTTCAATTGCTAGGGGTTCAAATATCGGGAAAGATTTTTTTATCACCACCCTATATATGAGCGTTTGTGCATAATTGATATACTGAATAGATAAACGATATAATAAGAAATGTATTTATTAATTTAAAATCTTTGACAATCGCATAATCTCTGAATTAGTTGCAACTACACTGGTTTCCAAAAAAATTAACTCCTGTATTACAAAATAATTTTATTACTACATTTTGCTAAGTCAATGACTACAGATGTTCAATAGAGCAAACTAAAGGAAACATCTACAGAAAAGTAAGTTCGTAAGCTGACGATATTTTAGGATAGACTAGTTTAAATGTCATAGTAATATATGCTACCATTTATCGTTAGGTGAGTAAGCTGAAATTTATTATAAAAATAATCCTAATATTTTTAGGTGGACTATGCATTTATTATTTGAAGTCATTAACTTTTCAAATCAATATATTAATGGATTTAAATGACTGTTGATGAAGTAGTTCATTGAAATTAAAATTTAACCTTTGGTTAAAGCTAAGTAAATTACCTCAAGCAAAAAAAAAAAAAAAAAACTTGCCGAACATGCATTCTTATGTTCGGACATAAGAATTTTAAAATATCACTAATTTGTTGTTGGGTAACTCAGAATTGATTCCGTAGACGAAAAATAAAATAAAAGTAAAGCCGGTATTATGTTTAATCGCACTACAAGAGTTTCTTAAATTAGAGGAATTATTTAAGAGGCCTAAAAAGGATTTCCAATTGAAGATTTTTGAAGCATAATCCATAGGAAGCAGCGAAAGAAGAGGAGGCTGAGTGTGCAAGGCTTACAAATAAGGAAATCCACATAAGTGGTTCTCGCACTTGAATTTTGATACTATCTGTAGCAGTGACTCAGACAGGAAGTAGATGTCAACCAATTACATAGAAACAGAAATGATTCAATTCTACACTCTTTCAACTCATTTCGAAAGGAAATGCTATTAACGTTCGGCATATTTTTAAGAAAGCAATAAATAGTTTCCGTTTTTGTAAGCATTGAACTATTTATGCGACGTCAGTTTTATGAAATAAAGCGTTTCTCAAACAGTTTTTATTATTTACTTATATTGAAAATATGGGAAATTCAAAGCACATTAGATTCCCTTCCAAGCACTCAATATCTTCGAACAATCACTAAATCTTCAGTTTATATGTACTATAACGTAAATTTGCTTTATTTACAGGAAGTTAAAGATGCATTTGAAATGCAGTGATTAACATACCAAGCATGTAATTCGGAGATCTCGTGCTCGACTTTGGAATAAAATTATTTTTTTTTTTTTTAAGATTCACCAATTTAATCTCCAGTCTGTTCCTATAGGTTAACTTTCGCTCATATTGTACTGGAAACTGGAACACCCACCCCAAGGATGACTATACATTGGGTTTAATATCACACTACTAGTGCTGTTGTTGGCTGTGTTTCTGTACTAAATGGTATGAAAATAATTTTAAAAATGTAAATATTTAGTATTTTCAGAATTTACATATTTATAATATTTTATGAATCTTACTCTGCCGCAAAACTCTTGCTCTTATAAGAGGTGTATTTTCGCTGAAACATTTTTTTTTTTTTTTTTTGGTTTATCTTTACATTACGGTAACTGGTAGTTTGGCGACATTTTGGAGGCGATAAAGGTTACTACCTGGGACTTTGGTAATAATGTGAGCAGTACTGAGTTCCGATTACGCATTATTTTGTGTGGGGAAAATGAGAGATCATGGGATATGTCATGTGATATTAATGGACGAATTACGGTTCTTTAATCGGAAAAGGGGGGAAATCGGGAAAAAATCTGGAAATTTTGTATTTGGCTTTATTCTGTGTTGTGTGAAATAGTGTTTGTGAATTTTTGGATCCCATGGCCGTAAGTAAAGTGAATTCGAAATGGGTATTTAGTGGTATTGAAAAGGATAGTAAGAAATGTTTTTAAGGTTGTGTGAGAGAGAAATAAACATGTTTTATTATGTTATTTATTTTACCTGGTATCTTGCTTTGAAAGATAAGTATGATTTTAAAGATTCTGAAAGAGAATGAAGAAAAGTGTATCCGCCACGTAATGAAGATTCTGAAGGAGATTAGGTAAGTTAGTTATTTTAATTATTTTTATGCATTGTTGGAAATGTAAGGTGGAAAGGAATTTGGTATTATTGGGAAAATTATTATTAGCAATGATTTAGTTTAAAGTAATTAGGATTGTAAGGTAATTTTTATTAATTGAATGTATGTGCTCATGTATATTTTAAGTGGTGTTTTTGAATTTAATTATATTTTAATGAAATGATAGTTATTTTGTGAATTTTATGTTTGTAGGAATTTGGTATACGTTTAAGTTGAAGTAAACGTGCATGGAAATAATTTAAATATTTGATACTAAATATTTGTAATGCTTCGGTATGAATTCGTTGGTGACGTGTATAATGTAATAGATGATTTAGAGGTAAAAGTTTTTGGATATTTTATTTATTTTATATGTGGAAATGTTCATATTTGTAAAGGGTAAATACTTTTTCGCGATCAGGTAATTTCATATATGTTCTTTTTACCGGGTTTAAAGATTGAGAAAATTGTCATGTATTTTCGTGAAATTTTTCGAATTTATGAGAAAAAAGCAGTGTACATGGATATAGTGAAGAGTGTGCGCAATGCCATTTTTGTGCAATTCTGGATGATGTTTTTTTAAGTAAAAATAAGTCGGCGTGTACATGGTTTATGTGTATGTGTTATTTTGAAAAAAACGCGTAAGGAGTATGGTATTGTGCACTTTTTCCTGAATTTTGCAGTGAATATTTGTCATGATTAAGCAGTTTTGTTTGATAAAATTTCTAGCATAAGTGTAATTCGGCTAGTAGATTGTTGGAAGAAGTGTTCAGTAGATAAGAAGAAAAGAAACATGTCTTTACTTCGTGAAGACAAAATGGCGGCGGGGAAAAAAAATAGAGGGTTGCTGTAGGAGAGTTGGTCGCCAAATTTTCGCCAAAAAATCGCCAAGTTACCGTAATGTAAAGATCAACTTTTTTTTTTTTTTTTTTTTGTATTATGCCGCCTTTTAATTTTATCAGAATATTTCCGTTATTATCAGTGAAACCTGCACTTTATTTTACGTAAAGTTTCTGCCCTTTTGTGTAGTGGTCGAGTAGTTAAAACCCCTGAAAATCGGTAGTTCAATCTCCTGCGAGCAGGATCTCTGCATGATTGAGTTTCATGGTTCATTTCTATCTTGAATGTGACTATGAGCCAGTTTCATCTAGAAAGCCCTCCACAAGCATTAATGTAGCTAATGTAAGTAGCATTAATGGCTATCTGCCTAAGACATCGTTGCCCTTAGGCATATATCTTTCCTGTGCTTTTTCATGATTCGTGTAAACTTAACCTAACGTTTATTGTAATGTTATTATATCAGACACCTAAGTATTAGTGTAAGCAACGGCGCAGATTGATGGATTTTTACAGGTGGAGAAGAAAAACTTGTGTTTATTAAATATACACATGCTATTACAAACATATTTTTAGTAGTTTACGTTTAAGTATTTATCTAAATAATAATCAAATAATAAACCTCCTTGCAAGCGGTTTTTCTTCCTGTTGTTGTCGTTCTGGTGGAAGTTACAGGGAGATCTCTTTAAGAATAAATTCAAAGCATTGCTCTACTGTATGTATCAATTTTGCTACAATATATATTTTTCCCTCAGGAACTTTACCATACTTTCTTACCACAAATCCTACAAGTGCATATTTTAAAATTAAAATTTAAGGCAAAAATATCACGATTTTTTTGCATAAAAACCTTTGTAGCATGAAAAAGGCAGGCAGTATGACGACGCTGCATTTTAAAACTGAAAATCTTTTATACACAAGGTTCCAGAATCTGGCACATTCTAAAAATTTGGCGAATTCTATTGGGGTCATTGCACTAATACTCATAGTAGCAAGTAACTATAATAGCAGTCATGTTACTCGATGTAACACTCCTAATTGTTGCTGACTAATTACGAGGTGAAAATTTATGAAACATTCCTGTTTCGTAAATTTGGTTTCGGTACATTAGCAGTACTTCTGTCTAGCAGTACTTCCAAATTACACACGTTCTAATTGTGAAGCCTTTTGGAATTGCGATGGAGTAGGATATAAATAACAAAGAGAGAAGAAGTACCAATATATCGTGATTTTGAGAAGAATATATTTGGCATTATTGTAAAAGCTTTCTACGTTTGCGTATGATTACCAAATGACACATCCATCTCGGTGTTCAAGATTTTTAAGCAGTTGGATTAAAGTGATCCTTCCCCACACGTTATCATATAAAACGCTTTGTTTGGTTTCGGATGTTTTTCAGAAATTCCTGTTGGTTCGCGAATGCTTAAATGCAGGGCGCATAAGAAAATTCCGTTCGAATGCTTCTTCTTCTACTTCTTACCAAATTGTTCGTACATTACTGCATTTTCATTATTACAAAATGCTTTCTATTGTCTTAATGTCTAAAACTCACATTTCTGCTTACCCTACATTTTATCTAGTGGCTCACAGAAATGCAAAGTGTTAGAATTATAGAAATAGTAAACTTTCTAGATATGAACAATAAATTATATATGTTATCACATTACATAAGAATAAGTGGAACTAGGACTTAAAGATAATAAATACTAGGATATGTGATTTATAGTGAAGAGAACTTACAATGTACGTAAAGCTGTATTCTCCTGGAGACTGGCGGCGGTACACTGTTTTCCGCTGTGCACAAATATGTACCCATATGAAGACGACTTACTTTAGATATCGTCAATTCTTCACCTTCATAACTATTTTCTGTAATCATAAAAGCAACATATTATTTGCATTATTTTGCTTAAGAACTTACCCCCAAAATATTTATTTACACAATATTATAAAGATCTCTATCGGATGCTTTAGCAGTTTATGAATAAAGCCACATAACTGAGTCCAGTATTTATACTTCACAAGAATCACTATAGAATTCGTCGTAGAGCAGATAACGTTTTGTTATCTGTTGAAGTAGTTATTTTAAGTTAAACACTATTCGAAGTTTTAGCTTTAACTAATTTAATTACCACCAGTGCTGATTATTATGCAATTATCACAAGTAGCATTAATGACTTTATTTATGCAGTATTAAGATTCGTTCTCTTGCGATTGATGTAGAAAGATCAATTTCGAGCGCTAGTAGAGGTTGAATAACTTATAATATCTCGGATTTCACTTTTGAAATGTTTAGGCTGCGTTGTTCCGAAAGGAAAAGTTAAATTAATCATTAGTAAAATATGCTGTGTAACATGCAATTAATAATCTTGATACTAACTAACGGATAAGGTCATACAGACAGCATAATTCTCCCAATTTCGTATGTCACCTGGCGAGAAATATGAGTGATTTGACTTGACAAAATGAACTTAATTTATGACAAATATGGCATTTTGCATATTAATTAATCATCCAAGCAAACTTCAAGTGTATAGATATATAGTTCTAGGTAACAGAAGGTTAGGTCTCGTAAAATATGTAACAATGTAAGCATATGAAGCAATGTAAGCCGTACTGCAAATTAGTAAATAATTCATATCGATGATTTCATTAAAAAAATAGTTATATATATCATTCAAATAGAATTATGTGAAAAAAAAGGTTTCTTTTCCAAACCTTTCTGCATTTTTTTCGTTGTTCTTCTCCTCGAATCTACAGTGATTTGTTTTCGCTTATAAAAAGGTCAGATAATTGCAGAGACTTTACATCGTTCAAACCTCGGGTGCACAGATATTTACAAAACACATCACCTCATTGTTTCCTTTAGAGATTTTGCATAAAAAATTTTGTATTCTTGAAGAAATGTTAGTCCAGTTTTACCCATCGCTTGGAAATTTTACAACTTCATATTTTTAAATTAAGGCATAAAATTCCACTGTTTGTTTATAAAAGACGTTTGAATACGACAAAAAGAATGCACGCGAAAATAGCGACGTTGCTTGAATTGAAGGATTGTTATGAATACGGTTGCCTGAAGAATCATTATACGCATAATTGCCGGAGTTTGGCCCATTCTGAAAATCTGGCGACTTCTGCTAAGGGGTTGTGATAATATGTAAATACCAGTAAGTGATTTGGTAACTGGAGAAATTACTTGCTAAATTTAATATGTGTAATCTATGAAATAATTATAAACTGTAATTAAATAAGGTGAACTGAATATATACAGCTAAATTATAATTTTATAAAGTGAAAACAAAAGTAAATTATCCCGTCCTCCCTCCTTCTTCAGCCCCCTGTTAAGTGTAAACAGTATATCTGAGCATCAGGTTCATACAACTACTGTGCAGAGTATCATTATTAAATTTTTGATTAATGAAGTTGTCGTTTCTTTTCACGATTTACTTGCAACTTAAAAATCAATTAAGTACTGATTTAGCACTATCGAAATTTCAACTCATTCGATTCATTTAAAAAACTTTAAATGGAAAGAACTCAGAATAAATGAACATGAAAATGTAATCTGTGAAAGAATGGGTCAATATCGCAGTCACACAGCTTTATTGTTCTAGAATTAAAAACACGGGACGAACTGAAAAAGGTGATACGGGACGAAGTGAAACATGACAATTTTTAAAATTAAATATTACATTGAACAAAAAGAACTATATTTGGTCCATGTTTGCCATTAGAGTTTACTGTATACCATTATTGTGAAAAAATAAAATTGACACCGATTTTTTAATATGACATCTTTCAAACATTGTGCTCCTAGATCCATCCACACATTGCTGGAGTGGTTCTGCAAAAGTTTCAGCATTTGTCTCCGTATGGTAGCTATTTCCCATTGAATGACGGTCATCAGTTAAGGTTCAGGTTTTGTCGACGTAATACTCTCGACTTAAGTAACCCCCTGAGAAGAAGAAGCAAGCAGAAAGATAAAGCCACCGAGATAGTCACATGGTGTATACATATCGGAAATTCTGGGAACATCCTTTTCAATACTTCTGTTGAATTCCTATCTATCTTGAGTATTATCTCAACTTGTTGAAACACCTGGTTAGTTCTGCTTATGAACCTACTGGAAAGTTCTGAAGCACTGCTGTGTCTCATTTTGCCTTCACAAGAAAATTAATCATTTGTCGCGGAATCGTTATTGTCCATTAATCATATCGTCGCGGAGTAGTTAAAATCGCTGAACACTGCGAGTTTGATCTAGGTTAAATCTCAGGCGAACAGAATAGCTGCATGATTAATTCTCGTGTTTTTTTTTTTTCCCTTGTAGTACAAATACGAGCTAGTTTATCTTCAAAAGCTCTCCACGAAGGAAACCCTCTCCTTAGCTGATAGCCTTTGTTTGCTTTCCATTTTTCACTACACTACCGCTAAACTCACCATCCGTTGTCAGTACAGTCTGTGCCCGCGTAGTTGTGTGGAGTTTTGCTGACCAACTTCAGCAGTGCGTGGACCAACTTCAGCAGTGCGTCGAAGGGCGACATTTGCATGATATCATTTTCGAGTGAAATGAGTTCTTTGTATTTATTTCGTTATTACATTCCGAAAGCCGCAAGGTTTTCAGCCCCACCGTATACTGTAACGTCACTCGCATTTTTTCTCAAGTGACAATAGAGCATATTTCTTTAGTTATTTTAATATGAGTAGGTATGCATGATTTCTAATCATAAGTTCGTATTTAGTTTATTCCAGGGATAAAAAGGAAAGATTATAATGGGATCTAAATTTCGCAGTTCCACTGTAAACGTATGGTATGGTAACTTTAGCTAATAACCATAAATCTGCCTTGAAAGTCTAAAGCAATATTTTGCTTCTTTTTGTTTTACTAGGCTCATAAAAATGTAATACTCATTGCATAATATCTCCAAATCAAAAATGTAAATGATTAAATATATACAAGAATATAAATGCTCAATTTCAGCACGTTTCGATACAAAGGCTAAACCTGCACCTGATCTACAAACCAAATTAAGTAATTTGGGACAATGAAACAGCTGAATTTTGTTACAGCTCTACACGTTTATCTTTTGATCTTTTTAGGTGGCAAAATCGTAGTGATATTAGTTTAACTAAAACATGTTTGTATATGGATCTGTTTTGCTTTTTCTAAAAATTCCCAAGCTATCTCCAAACTCTTAAATAACGTATGACACAAAAATGCCTGTTTAAATAATGGATTGTTTGATAAGACTCATTCAGGTTATTTAATATTAAAATTTCTAAAATCAACTAACATTAACAAAAGGGTATAAGCGCTGAGATGTTTATCATAAATTTATTCATAAGAAAATATTAAAGCCAGGAAGCTGATAACTCATAAAAGTAGATTTCCATTATTAATGAAGTATTTAGCCTTAATGTGAAAGAAAAACTTCTCCTCAACAACTTGCACAAAAACTAATCATTTTAAGGAAGGGAAAAAAAGTTTTTAAATGGCTTTTAAAAACTCGTCATGTGATATCTCACACAGAATCTCCTCGTTGACGCTGCAATTCAGATAATATGACGCAAGCTGCCAAAAACGTTAAGTAGAAAGATAGAAAGAAATGATGGATAGGGTTAAACCTTGATCCCTATATTTACCATTGCGTCCGTCTCTTCTCGACTTCCGTCAAAAACTTCCGTCATCCAAAAAAACGCCGAGGAATAAAATGTAGAATAAAAACTCATATTGTAGAAGATATTCCCCAATAAAATTTCTGCAGCCAACTGGAACGTTAGAAACATGATGAAAATAAGTTTACAAAATGTAAATGTAATATAATTTGCTAAATTGTTCACATTCTTCAGATTAGGAACGTGAGGAACAAATAAAATTTAAAAAAAATCATATCAAGTTAAAACTGAAGTTACATCCTTTAAAGCTTATTATTTTCTATCAGAGGGCCAGATTTACGATGGGCTATGACTATTTATTACGTTTCCTTATATTTTATTAAAAACTACACGTCTTTTATTTGTTATTAGGATCTTCCTTGTCATAAGAATACCTGTGCAAACAAATTTTCTCTAGAAAGATGCAACTCATTTCACCTGTGGCAAATCTGTTTTAAACATAGAAATATAATACGTAGGTTAGTTATTTCAGTTTCGATTTTGTTCATTATGGCAAAGCGCACCAGGGCTATTTGCCTAAGGGTACGGATGCCTTCGTGGAGGACTTTCTAACGGAAATTTACTCGTATATGCGGTGGGAAAACCACGAAAACGACATGCAGCCAGGCCGTTCGCCTGGATCAATCCAAGTTGGAACTACCAGTGTTTAGCAATTTTACCGCTTAGCCGCTGGTGGGATCGTCAATTATTTCAATAAAAAATGAGTGAAACACAACGCCACGCTTAAAACTTTTATATAGACAAGAGATCTCAAACCAGGAGGGACTTCCACCTTGGAGGGATTTCGTAAGTTTAGAGCGGGAATACGGTCTGCTTTTATTTATCTGTAAAGAATATATATAGTTTCCATTTATGACTACCAAAAACTACTTTTATTCAAGTTTTGGTAAATCAACATGTTCGACACTTTTTCTTGTTTAATTTACGAAACACAGTGAAACTTTAAATTTCAATAAATGCATATATATATTTCGAGTTTTGCAAAGGAGAGGAGGCGGGAATGATAGTCTAACAATAATGAAGGTGGTGGCATGGAAAGTGGTTAATGGCTGCTATATCGAAGTGCCCGGGTTAGAATCCTGAGAAAGACATGGATGTAAATTACCTGTCTCGTCATAGGAAGCAATGGAGACTCACCTTTAAGGTATCTCCATCATAAAGTGACCACTGCTTCCGGCCTTATTACTGGCCAACGC